CAATGCTGTGTGCTGAAGAGTGCTTTTCAGCTTTACAGGAAGTCCCATAGAAAGATGTACTGATGTTCTGTGGTTTGCAGTGACTGTGTGAGCAATGGCAACCAGAGGACACTGCTTAAAGCATGGGGGATCTGTAATGGCATCTCCTAGACCCTAGACCAGAGGGCTTTCATTCATAGAGACCTTGCTTGACAAAAGGTAAGCTGTTTATTTGTAACCATGCCTCTTAGCAGTCACCAGCTGGGAGTAGTATGCATATGATGACAGTGAGTGTCCCTGTGAGGATGCAGGAACTCATCTGTCAATCTGGGTTGGCCTTTGGAACACTATGTGATGGTGAGGTGGAAGGTTCAAAGCTCTGCTGTGGTTCAACATGGAGAGAGACTGCCATTTAGTTAGGAGACATGAGACTATGTGGTGGTGGTGATGAATTTTTTTTCTAATCTTTTCTTTTGCTGTTTCCAAGGGGAAAAGAACAGCTTTATTTTACTACTCTTCAATTAAAGTCTAAAACCATGATATCCACATTTGCAACCTGTAAATCCTGGGAGAGAAAGAAAAGGCAGGGAGCTTTTTACTTCCTCCTAGTATTAATTAGATATGTGGGCCTTTATAGCGAGAGATTATTTTTCAAGATTTAACTGCAGAATAATCTCTAGCTAACTTAGACTTGTTTACTTTTGCCATTTCATCAAAGAAATCTCTCTTCATTTTGTTGCTACCTGAAAATTCAAATGGAGGTAATTAAGTCACAGTTCACTGTCTGGTTTTCCACCTCTAGCTCTCAATCTGCTGCTTAGTGTCTGTGGTTGGGTTCATGCTTCTGCTCAGCTTTCTTTCCAGGCATGAGTTTTCTGACCCTTAGAGTAAAGCATTGGCAGCATCTTCCTGCTTTTCCTGAACAATATTCTAATTTGAGACATTTCCCCCTGCACACTCCCAGATATATCAACAGAATTTAAATAACAGCCCTCCCCATCTACTGCAGGCAGAGAAGAGGTATGCCAAACTCCCCACTTAACATTCAAAATTCTCTCACACAAATTTATCCCTATTAAAAAAAACACAGCATTTCTTAGTCCTCCACTCACAGCCTTGGTTCACATTTTGAACTCTAGCAAATCAAGCATTCTTATCTTCCAGAATCCAAGATCCCCACCCCTCCTTTAGCCTATGAACTGCATTGTGAACCTTTCTTTTCCATTTTCCTGTCTCCACTCTCTTGATTTCCATTTACTCTTGTGTATCTTGCCATCCTCCTGGGAAGCTTCACTTTTTTTTTTTCAACTGGAGTAATTTTATTCTTTCTCAGGACAGCTAAAGATATCCATTTGTACCTTCCAATAACACTTAACAACTTTTAACTAAAATAAACTTGGGGTTACACAAAAGTTACAGAGTTCTCATCATACCTACTCTGTAGCAAATTTCTAATGTTTTTTTTTAATTTTAATTTTAAATAGCTTGTTTTACATGTCAATCCCAGTTCCCTCTCCCTACCCTCCTCCCGCACCCCCCATCCCCCCCCCAGCCTCCCACCCTATTGCCAATTCCTTCCACATAGGGGATATCTAGAGTCTGTCATTTCACTCAGTGTAGGGTCCAGGCACTCCCCTAAGAGACCAGGCTGAGAGATCATCCCTCTTTGTGCTATGGACACAGGTGTCTGTTTGTATTCCAGGGATAAACACTGATTCACTGCTCAGGGCCCTATAGGTTGCCCAGGCCTCCTCACTGACACTCACATTTGGGGGGGAGTCCAGATCAGTCCCATGCTGGCCTCCCCGCTGTCGGTCTGGTGTCCAAGAGCTCTCCCCTGTTCAGATCAGCTGTCTCTGGTTTTGCCAGCCTATTCTTCTAAAGTTAACTGCTTACATACCCACAACACAAGGATCAAAATGAATCATACTATTAAGCAAACAGAAGCTTATTTAGATTTCATTGTTTTTTGCAGAAAGTACTCTTTCTGTTCTGAGGTCAAATTTAAACTCCTATAACACATTTAACTAGTATCCAGCTGGTTCTAGTCTATAGTCCTCACACAGATGACTGATAGCAGTGTCATGATACTTTAAACCATGATGCAAGCATTCACCTACCAAAAATAGTCCCTGTCTGGGTTTTGATAGGTCCTGCCATCATGGCCTTTCTGGTTCTGTTGCAGCCAGGAAAACACTTTGCCGACAGGACCACGCTCTTCTCATCATATCACACCCACTAGCTGCCCTTTGTTAGTCACTACCTTCTATTGCCAAGTCCCAGCATATTTCAGAATTGTGCCCATCCTCTTTATGGCTCCATTTCACTTTGACAGAAACCTCAAGTCACTTTTATCCGCCTAGACCTACACCTCCTCCTCCTGCCTGTTCTAAAGTCAGTGTGTGTCTTTTTCCTCCTCCGTTTACTAGCTGTGGCCTGTGAAGAGTAAAATTCATCTTTTGAGGCCCCGGAAGTTTTGGTATGGTTAGAAGGGACCCAGAGGAGGATGCTTCTCAATATGAAACCCATGCATCATTAGACTGAGATCTTCCACAAGAATTGTGAAGTGTCTGTGGATGGGATGAGAACAATTGAACTGATTCATGTGTTTTAACTGGAGCGTGGATACATAATGCTCTATTTTCTTTGGGATGCTTTACTGCAAAGAAAGACTAGAGAGTAGGGTCCCACAGAGGTGTTTTGACATTAGGGTTAATAAAGCATGAACAACTCATTAATAAATAATGTTCTGCATGGTTAACAAATAAAGCCGAATGCACCGGCTAGACCTTGAAGTAAATTAAATCATACATGCAGCTGTGTGTGTGACTTGTTAACTTGTAACAGTCTCCTCACAGTGATCTGGTAAAGCCCAATGCAACAGTGCGTAAATAAGACCAGCAAATCATAGGCAAACCCCTTCAGTTCAGATACAGAATATCAACTTTGTAATGCTCTAAAGGCCTCATGTAGTGCAAAAAATCTTCATTGCTGTTCGTGTACAGGCATTCTAATGATAGCTTTAGTCTCGCTAAGACAGCTCTACATATCCATCAGTTCACACAATTGCAGGTACACAGTTACACATATGTCTGATCATCTCCTGTCTCTTGCCTTTTTATCTACTGGGAGTTGACAAGAATAAACGAGGGAATGGGGTTAATGTTTAGAGGTAAACTAGTTTATTCAGCTAAAATGGTTCCTGATAAGCTTTTTAGTATGATCCAGAAAACTTGAGGAAATAGAAATTAAAAAGAAAGGAAAGGAGGAAGGAAGGGAAGGAAGGAGGGAGGAAGAAAGGAAGACTCATCCTCCTTTTAGAAATGAAAATGGGGTATAGTGCTCCTAAAACACACACATTAGCATGGGGAATTGGCAAGGTTTTAGACAGAGGTTCCATGGCTGCCTCATCAGTGATGGTTCTCAGAGCTGTGTCAGGTAGAGGGAAGTTTGGGCCTTTGCCCACTTGCACTTCTCTGGGTGCTGTGCACTGTAGCTTCTGGTCCACAGAGCTCATCTCATGATTATAAACTGATGGACAGCTGACGGTTGTCAACTCAGCATGATTCATTGACTCCAGCTGTTCAACAGTTTAGAGGGACGCAGCCTCCAGCGACCTGCCATTGTGGTTGGCTCCATCCTCCACTCACTAATGCTCTAACTAGAAAGCCAACCACTATGCAGTTAGATGCAACTATTACCAAGCAATGCTTTGATGAAACAACATGTTGGAAGGGTTTCATTTCATCTCAAAAGCCTTGCCAACCATGCCCATATGCACACATTTACGCACCATGCCAAGCCTGTTCTGTGTTTATGCTGACAAGACCATTAAGCTGCCATTTCCATCCTTTCCCAAAGCTGTAGGTTTAAGCACCATTCACCTGAAACTCAAAATGTTCTTTATTAAACAACAGCATTTGAAAAATTTCACCCTCTATATACTTATATACTTTTTTTTTTTGGTTTTACGAGACAGGTTTTCTCTGTATTGTTTTGGAGGCTGTCAGTCCAGCCTGGCCTCGAACTCAACGGAGATCCGCCTGCTTCTGCCTCCCAAGTGCTGAGATTAAAGGCGATTTATATACTTCTTGTAGTTAATGGAAACCACAAATGAAGGACCAGTTAATATTTTATGTCACATGGCAAGATTTCAGTTTTGAGTAGTGGAAATTAAGGTAGTCTCTATCTGTTGAGCCTTGCAATACACTTTGTTTACATGAAAGACCATTTAATCCCAATGGTCTATAAGGTTGGCAATAGTTACTGCCTTTTTGTGGAGGAGGAAAACTGACTTAGCAATTGAAATTGTAAAAAGTTATATAGCTAGTAAGAAGAATTAAGTGTGTGAATTCAGTCATTCCGAACCCAAATTTTATACTCTCAGTTGTTATTCCACGCTATCTTGTGTATTACCAGGAAATCTAAGCATACACTTGGAGAAGCAATCTGGAATAGAGCAGGACTTCTTCCCCTTAATCATCCTGTATGGCAATGAGTTAAGAGTTTGCCTAACTATACAAGTTACCTTCTGCATATTTCAAAAAAAAAGTTAATGTGGCTGGAGAGATGGATGAATAGTTAAGAGCACTGGCTGCTCTTCCAGAAGACCTGGATTCAATCCCCAGCACCAACATGACAGCTCACAGCTGTCTATATCTCCAGTTCCAGGGGATCTGACATCCACACACAGAAATACCTGCAGGCAACTGATAAATTATCCTCCTTTTAGGAACAAAAATGAGGTGCTAATAACTATACACTAATACACATAAAAAATAAACAAGTTACCTAAAAACTAAGCTTAGTACATCAACATTTTGGTTCCTGTAAGTGGTGTTTCTTATGTCAAAGTCCAAACCATATAAAAAGAATATTTCCTGTTCATTCCATGAACAATGGCTGGATTCCCATTTTCTTGACAATTGTGTTTGATAACTACCCAAACATGGACTGGCAGGAATGCTTTTCTTCAGGGGCTCAATTTTAAAAATAATACTTGTGTCAGAAAAGAAGCAAACCTGGTTGATGCAGAACTTGGTCCAGCTGTAGGAATGCAGTTCTGATGGGAAGACATGATCCTTGATAAGCTGGGCACGAAACAGCTGAGAGAAGGGGGGGATGAAATTCCCCGATGAGGCCCTACCAGAGAGTCAGATTGTTTAATCTGTCAAGAATAAAATACCTATTATTCCTTTGTCCAAAGCCTCAAACACATATTCTCACTATCAAAGCATACGAGTTAAAAGGTATTTATTAATTTATATCTGTAGTTCTTTATTCAAAGCCTGTGCTAGCATTGACATATTCACACAGAAAATGTAGGTCGCATAATGCCTGTGTTAATCCATATAGAAATTTCTCTTTGTGATTAGCACTTGCATAATTTGACTTTTTATGCATCCATGCTGTATTTCCCCCCAAAGGCTTAAATTACATTTGGTTCTTTGTTAGCCTTCAAGCAGTAAGTAGATTGTTTAAAAAAATTCTACTTTCCACGGTGAATGATTTATTATTCAAGTCTAAGCTATACACAAAAAGGTATAAATGCAAATACTTATTCTCAATAAATGTGGTGCCCCAAGGCACTATTGCTACCTCATAAGTATTTGGATATTATATTATATTATACTGTCTGTCAAGCCATACTTCCCACCACATTATTTTATTCCTTCCTATTTACACAATGTGTGGAAAGACAATGAGAAGCAAAGGTGTATTGGGTTTTACTCAGCCCAAGAGGCAAGCTGTGGCTGCTAGTATATGGCTTTAGAGAGAAGAGACATTTGCCCACAAAACCCATGTAGGCTGGAGGACAATTTGTCCACAAATGATTAAAGATGGAAAAAAGTCCATTTTGGAAAAAAATGCAAAAAAATCTAAATTACATTTATATCTATAAGGGAAGAGAGAGATGCTAGGTGACATTACTGAGGGCTACAAACAATGTGATCCCACCAAACCAAAAGTAAGCAAAAATTGGTTATTTTAAAAGGTTTTCATCTATTACTCATTGGAAATACTGTAGTTTTGTCCTTAAGTTAATTTTTGTTATTATTGAAAATAATGATTAATCTAAGCACCTACTGCTAGGATGCAGGTAGCCACCACACTAAGAACCACATGTATTTTCCAATTGTTTTTATAGCAGATGATGTTAAATGATAATTTTCTATTAACTTGTTGATAGAAGACATTGTTTGAATAACATCATGGACACAGTGATGGACAGAAGCCCCTGTTTTTCAGTGTCTTAGTCTCATGGTCTAGTAAGAAGGGCAGGTGCTCAGTGAAGGAAAAAAGGTGTGTGTGCTCTCTCTGTCAGATAAAACCATGTAAGCTCCCAGAGTACTCAGATGTCCCTCTAAACTGCTCCCTGGAACAGTCATCGTCACTCACTGCAAACAATACACCTAAATCACTCCTACTTCTTCCTGTATTTCAAATTTAAATGACATTACTTTAATAAAGGGAATGCCTAGAAATATGCATGAAAATTTTGCTCTGTACAACCAGAAGCCTGAATTTCTCCTGCTAGATAAAGCCAGGGTTGTAACCTTCATTCCATGGAAACATAGAATCCATTTACCAGAACAGAATTTACACTGTTTTAAGACGTAGTATAATGCTTAAACGGAAAACCATCTTTGAAATAAATTGTTTAATTTTTTTGCACATGAAACTCCCTTAGTTCATCTGGCAGTATTGTTATACTTTTCTTTGTATTTTGAATATATACTCCTCTGCTCTATTAGATCTAATGAAATGATTTTCCAGAGAATTCTGTAATTTTGTCCTCTAAGGAGAGCTTTCATGTGACTCTACAGTATTTCCTGAGCACTCTGAGTTTTCTCATCACAGATGTCATTCAAGTTGCTTTCTAAACTCAGCATTTTACTAACAATTTTTCCTTCCACAGTTAATTGAAAAACAAGGCAGTTGTATTTCATTGATATCAGATGTATTGGTTAATATGCAAGTCCTTTCATGGCTTCTAAGAATGATAATCCCCATGAAAAAGAAACAACTATTTAGCACAATTGAAGCAGTTAATAATATTTGGGGTGTGGTCTGGGCCTTTAGAACATCCACCCACCAGGTCTCTCTGAAATTTCAACATATGGTTAATGTTCTTTATTTATATGGGAAATAAAATTCTGGTGAAAAAAGCAGTCGAATCCCAGTCAGAGCAATGTACTGAGAAGGAGATGGAATTGATATTTACAAGAGCTAATTTCTGTCTCCACTCTATTACTAACCAGTTTCCTGGACCTGCATACACCATTGAATCTGCACAAAATACTTTCCCTGGGACTTGTTTTTCACACCTGTAAAATAAAGATAATTGGACTTGAATTTCCAGGCTCTCTTTCAACTCAAACAGGCAGCAATGCCACAGCTCTGACTTGATAATCAACATGAAAGAATTCTTAAAGCAGTAAGTACCACAAAGTGAACTAAATTAGAGATGGCTGGCTTTTAATATGTATTCAAATTTAGGCTTGGTTATCATTTTTTCCTGAGAACTGAGTGAGAATTTTATCCAGTGGTTCTTTGAACAGGAACTTTCGAAACTCAAGTTTACTCTAAAAATTAACATACTGGTACCTGTCATTTCAACAATTTTTTTATTTGTGATTTGCTTAACATCACTGGCTTGGATTATAGTTATATAAATACTATGAAGATTTTTAAATTAGTATGTGAGTTATAATGTATAAGAAGGAGCAAATACATTTAAATTTAATCTTCTTCATTTGTTGACCATCTGGAAGTCCATAGTATCATATAGATAACACCGGTTCATTGACAAATTGTAATAAAAGTAAAGGAGACTGAACCTAATCCTAGTAAGTACATGCAGGTGTTTGCTCTAACTTAGGGGAACTATACTGTGAGAATCTCAAATGTACAAATTAATACACAAGGATCAGCAAATGTTGGCAACAATTGCTGACTTCTGAACTGACTCCATTTTAACTTCAGGAACATCAGACAGGACATGGAAAAGCATCTGCCAGGAGAGCTGTCACCAACACCAGCCTTGAGCCCTCTCCTGACTTCCTGTCACCTTGATCCTCGAGCCAACTCTCCACTTCCTGTCACCTTAGTCCCCATTTATCTGGTCTCTTTGTCTACACTTTCTTTATCTTACATTTTCTCTAGATACCACATGATTTATTTTCTTGTGGTGGCTTTTCAGTATCTGCCATTACCCAACAGAGTGCCCTGAGAACTGCGGTATTTGTTAGTTTGCTTCAGTCATGCTTCTTGGGTCCTAGAACAGCCTAGCACTCTCCCGTTATTCACTATTGTTACTTTATTTGTTGAAGAAATGAAGTGCTCATGTAATTATCATGTACCCAGGTATGGATCTTAGCTAAAATTACCAAAAAATATGCATGACCAATGTATATTTCTCTTATACAAGAGCAGACAGGCATATCAGGCAGATAGAGGCAGGAAAATTAGAATGAGTCTTCCTGAGACACTGACTTGAAACAAACAAAAAATGAGCTTTGATGGTAAAAATGAACCTGGTGAGATGGTTCATTGGGTAAAGGTGTTTGCTGCCCCTCATGACTTGAGTTTGATCACAATTTCCCACATGTAGCAGAGAATAGGCTCCCAAAAGTTGCCCTCTGACCTTCACATGTCCACATGTATATTCTGATACACACACACACACACACACACACACACACAGAGTGCATGGGCAGAGAGAATATAAATAAATAAATAAATAAATAAATACAAATAAAATAAAGAAATAAAAATTTAATCGTCACCATGCTGGTCTGACACCAGGAAAATGTCGCTGTCATGGCACAGTGCCAACGTGTTCCAAGTGTGGAAAAAGAGCAAGCAGCGGAAGACAGTGAGACCACGATGCTAGATGGCCTGTGGCTGCATGATGTTGCCCTAGGCATAGTCTCATCATTTCATTTGGGCCAGACTCATACCACTGTCGAGAATCTGCATATTTTGGGTAAGGATGTAACTCAGTGTTCAGATGTTTGCCTGGTATGTAAAAGTCCTGTGTTTGACTCTCAGGATTCAAAACCAAGTATTCACTTAAGAGTAAAACCAGACTCTCTGTAGGGAGCTTCATGGCTTAAGTGATATTCAGATATGCTTACTATAGCAGGGCCAGACAATAGATCTTTCTTGTTCTGTAAAGTTGAGGTCTAGCATTTAGAAAACTAAATAGAACCATGTGAGATGGTTCAGTTGGCAAAGTGCTGGCCCTGAGGCCATACAGATGTGAGTTCAACCTCCACTACCCTCCTAGAAACACCAGGTGTGCTGCTTGTGTCTGTAATCCCAATTCCAGGACCAGAGACTGGTGGCTCCCAGGGGCTCATTGGCTGGCCACTCTAAGAGCTGACTAGCTCTGGACAAGTGAGCATGTTGTTTCAATGCAGGCAAGTAACATTTCTGAGGATGGCACCCAAGGCTGTCTTCAGGCTTTCACATGCATGAACGCACACATGTATACATACACATGAATACATGTACACACATACAAATAAGAATTGGAAAAAAGATGAATCATCAAAAGTCATGTAATTTAGAGACTTGCAGTCTAGAAAGGACATCACTACAAAGCAGAATAATTTCATGGCATGTTTCATCGAACTTACACAGCATTAAGAGCAACGTGTTAAGTTTTCACTTTTGAGTATTTTCATTTTAACAGGAGTTTCACACACCAACACACATGTTATTCTTTCCATTGCTTCAGGACAGCTTCCTTGAAATTTCCAATCTCTGCAACGATTGCTGCTATAACCACATTACATTTATTACTACGTTTGAGCAGCAATTGACTGGATTCCATCTCACTGGCAAAGCTAAGCAGCTTTGTATTATAAGTAAGTTGAATTAATGGGCCCGTGTTGGAAAGATGTGCTACCTGGACTTGCTGCCACCCAGCTGTTTCTTTGAGGGGTCTGCAAGTGAAGGGAAGAGGCCTGCTGTGCAGAGGATAGGAAAATTATTATCATATTGCTTTCCTAAATTGAATGAGAATTTTTGCTCAGCAGAAACCTCTTGACTGCAAAAGTCTGAAATTGTGCCCTGCTGGTAAGAATGCCTGTTTGGACTGGTGGGAATTTGAACATTCCACTGTGCTTCAAATCCAGTAAATCTTATGAGTTTGCCCAC